TTGGGCTGCGAACCTTAAGATCAGCGGTTCGAAACTACCAGCCGCTCCGCGGGAGAAAGATGAGGCTTTCTACTCCCGTAAAGATTTACACCCTCGGAAACCCTGTACAGGGTCGCTATGGGTCGTAACCGACTCGATGGCACTTAACAACAACAACAACCCAAGTTTTTAGCTTGAGCATCTCTACATGGAGGTGCCATGTACAGAGTAGCAGAAGGTGGGAGAGTAGCTTTGGGGCAGCAGATCAAGAGTTCAGTGTTTGTGGCTGTCTAAGGTGCAGCTGGAGTCCTGGGATGGCGCTGTGGGTTAATGCGCCAGACTGCAAAGCCGTTTGAACTGCAAGGTTGGCAGTTCAAGCTCACCAGTCACTCCGTGGAAACCCTATACAGGGTAGCTATGGGTCGGAACCAACTCAAGGGCACAGAACAACAACAAGAAGGTGCACCTATTGGTCTCCATGTATGTAAGAAAGAGTGATGAGGATTGAAGATGCTTGGAATCAATTAGTCCAATGGACTAATGGAACATGTGAACATCAGTCTCCACGACTCTGAGACTAGAAGAACTAGATGGTGCCCAGCTACCATAACCAACCACTGAAAGGGATCACATTAGAGGATCCTCAATAGAGTGGCAGAATATGTGGAACAAAACTCAAAATTATTTTTAAAAAAGACCAGGCTCACTGGTCAGTAAGAGACTGGAGGAACCTGAACCTGAGACAATGGCCCTCATTGGAAGAACCCTTCAGGTCTGGAAAGAAACACCCTCGTGGCCCAAATTTCAGCCAAGCCGTAGATAGGTATATAGGGGAGACAACAACACTAGGAAGGTACGCTCACTATGAATGATGGAAATGTCAACCATTCAAAATCAAAGAGACAACATGTACCTAAGGACAAAGGTGAGAAAAGATGGGAAGGTGGGTGGAATGGAAATAGGAGCCACAGGGAGGAAGTGGGATCACTGCTGTTCCATGGCGGGAGTTGCAGTCATTGAAAAAAAGTGTATGATTGGTTGAATGATCTTACCTAAACCTTCACTCAATTCACAATAACAAGTTAAAGAAGTAAAAAAAAAGTTCAGTGTTTGAAAACTACAGAGTATGTGTTCAGTAGATTCTAACTGATACTCACTTCAATTATTTGTATAACCATTGGTTTCCTTATGAGGAATTCTGATGGTCCAGCGGCTCCCTGTTGATTTTGTTGTTAGGTATCATCTACTCGAGTCCATCTCAAAGCAGCCCTATGTACAACAGAATTAAACACTGCCCAGTCCGACAACAGCACAATCATTGCTGTATTTCAGCCCATTGTAGTAGCCACTGTGTCCATCTTGTTGAGGGTCTTCCTCTTTTTTGCTGACCCTCATCTTGTTTTCCAGAGACTGGTCTCTCCTGATAACATGTCCAAAGTATCTGAGGAAGTCTCGCCATTCTTCCTTCTAAGCTTTTTGGCTGTACTTCTTACAAGACGTATTTGTTCATTTTTCTGGCAGTCTATGTTGTTATTGTTAAATGCCATCAAGTCAGTTTTGACTCATCATTTCCAAGGAGCGGTTGGAACCACCAACCTTGTGGTTAGCAGTACAGTGCTGATCATACAGTGCCACACCAAGACTCTGATATTCTTTGCCAATGCCATAATTCAAAGGCATCAATTCTTTGGTCTTCTTTATTCATTTTCCATGTTTTGCATGCGTATGAGGCAGTTGAAAATATGACTTGGGTCAGGTACAACTCAAAGCAACATCTTTGCTTTTGAATATTTTACGGAAGTCCTTTGCTGCAGATTTGCCCAGTGACAGGAATTCCTGTGAACAGGAAATGTGTGCCTTTTACACTCTCAAGGACCTCTTACTTATATCAGTAGTGTCATTGATGTTGGCAGGTGTGGTACAAATAGAGCTAAAATGTGATCTCTATCCTGAAGAAATTTTGTAGTGCTGGGGAGATAAATTGCTAATTTTAACATTGGTGTTGTTAAGTGCCATCAAGTCAGTTCTGACCCATATTGACCCTGTATAGAGTTATTGAAGAGCAGCTGATGAGCTTGAACTGCCTTCCTTGCAGTTCAAACCGACTTTGCAGTCCAGCGCATTTACCCACAGTGCTACACCAGGACTCCATTATGTTGTTACGTGCTGTCGAGTCAGTTCTGACTCATAGCGACTGATGGATTTGAACTGCTGACCTTGTGATTAGCAGTCCAGTGCTTATCCTACAGCACACACATTAAATGTTTTAATGTTGTAATGCAAGGCACTCAGGTATTTGGAGGAGGTATTGGACCCAGGTGGCTTTCTGGGTAGGAAACCTTCATTGAGAAATAGATTTCTAAGTAAGAATTCAGCGGAAAGGGAAGACTGGCATGTTCAGAAAGTGGAAGTTTGAGAGAACATGGTGGGTTTGGAAAAGATATGACTGGAAACCAGGGTGTGAGTTTTGCATAGAGTACAAGACTCTTGGCTCCCTTATAAAGACATTTAGGTCTTCAAAGACAAATTCCAGTCTCCTACTTCAAAGACCAATTCCAATCTACTAAAATACTTACTGATGAAGATCAAAGAGCACAGCCTTCAGTATAGATTGCATCTCAATGTAAAGAAAACAAAAATCCTTACCACTGGACCACTAAACAACATTCTTATCAATGGTGAAAAGATTAAAGTTGTCAAAGACTTCATTTTTCTTGGATCAGCACTCATGGAAGCAACAGTCAAATCAAACGATGTACTACATTAGGCAAATCTGCTGCACAAGACCTTTTTAAAGTGTTGAAGAGCAAAGACGTCAGCTTGAGGACTAAGGTACGCCTGACCCAAGCCATGGTATTTTCAATAACCTCATATGTATGTGAAGGCTGGACAGTGAATAAGGAAGAACGTAGAAGAATTGATGCATTTGAGTTATAGTGTTGGAGGAGAATATTGAAAGTACCATAGGCTGCCAAAAGAACCAACAGATCTGTGTTGGAAGAAGTGTAGCCAGAGTGCTCCTTGGAGGCCAGGATGGTCAGACTTTGTTTCTCATACTTTGGACATATTGTCAGGAGAGACCAGTCACTGGAGAAGGATATCATGTTTGGTAAGGTGGAGGGTCAGAGAAAAAGAGGAAGATCCCCAATAAGATGGATTGGCAAAGTGGTAGGTAGCATCAATGGGCTCAACTGTGGCAACAATTATGAGGTTGGCCCAGGACCGGGCAGTGTTTCATTCCGTTGTGTATAGGGTACTGACTTGATGGCACCTAACAAAAACAACCCCTTCTTTTATATCCGTAGTCCCATCTGAGTTCCTATGAAGCGCTGGCACAGAGAAGATACTACCCACTTATATATCTTGTGAATTTAATTTTTTCTAAGTGTCCCAAACAAACACCAGAATAAAATCTTCAGTCTTCTTTGATGTTCTTCTGAGTTGAGTTATGGCAGTGAATCTGCTTTTAGGACCACAACACAAGGTGGGATAGGTGAGTGGGCCTGGTGGGTTTGGGACAAGTAGAATGAGAAGTACTTTGGGAATTTTTTAGTTGTGCCAGACTCCAAGGAGGAAGCTTGACTATCCCACCTCCATATTTTCTTTGTCCTACACTGGACATGGAGACTTGGTATGGCACTGTAGGATAAGCACTGGATTGCCACTCTTTGGAAACCCTATATAGGGTTACTATGAGGTGGAACCAACTTGATGGCACTTCACAACAACAACAACACTGGCTATGGTGGTGACATGGAGAATGAATACACGGCTTACTGTGCAGCGACCTGGGAGCTCATGGTGAACGGTCTGTCTTGAGCAAATAAAAGAAATCCGAGTGGATGTGCTGATGGCCCTATGGCCTCTTCTCCTTAGTGTCTCTGAACCTCCCCTGGCACCCAGATGGCCTCCACCAGTGCTCACCTTGCCCTCCATTTCAACATAGCCCAAGGATACCTCCCTTCTTCCCCCGAAGAGTCATGTACCCCAGTCAACTTCTAACCAAATCCCTTCTTTTTGGAGAGAGGTGTGCAAAGTAAGCTAGAGAATGAATGAGCCCCTTTTACTGCTGAAGTCAGTTCCAATTGCTTCTTTGTGCCACACCTCAGCACCTCGGACCTGGATTCACATGCAGGGATTTCACTCTGACTGGAGTCCTGTGTATCCTGCCTGCCCACACACCTCCAGGGAAGGGATGGTGGTCTCCCCATCAGACTGGAAGCTCTGAGGATGGGGCTTAGTTTCAGTTCTCTGGAGTGCTCCCTAACACTCACTGGGTGGCTGCCTGCTTGCGTCCTAAAAATAAAGCAGTTACTTGAAGAGCCACCATATACAAGATAGGTGATGAGTGACCTGGGCCCCGATTCTCCATATCAGAAGATACGTGGACTTGAATCCTTGTGATCCTGAGTGTGGGTAGGAGGCGGTTGCTCTCTTTCAGGATGGGACACCTGCCCTCAAATCCTCTCCCCTCTAAGAGGCCTGTGCAACCTCCCTATCCAGTAAGGGTCTCCTTCCCATTTCTCCTCTGTCTGTCTGCATCAAGCCCGGTATCCCCCCCTAGTGTGGAGACCAGGTCTTTGTCATATATCCCTGTGCAGTTCCAAACAAGACCTCCTGGCCTGCTGACATGTCAGGCAGGCCACTGTGTAGGATGCAGAGCCCAGGTCACTCCTGCCCTGCCCTGAACCAGAGACGAAGCCGCTCACTGTTCAGTCATTTATTGAGCCCGTGCGGTGTGCTGGGCGCAGGAGAGACAGGAATGTGTGAGCCTCATCCCTACTAGACAGTGAGGCGAGAACTCCATGCGGAGGGAAGCACTCCTGCTCATGATGGTGACAACAGTGCATTTTTGCACAACTGCTGCTTGAGACTCAGCATCCTGGAGGGAAAGCCAGTGAGTTCAGTATGGGCTTGGTGTGAAGCACCAGGATGGAAACAGGAGACGCGTGAAGAAGAGTTGGCCTGGCTGACTGGTCAGCTGGACATCCAGGTAGGGAGAGGGGCATGTGGTTGGACTTTCACTCGGGACCATGGACCTCCTCTTGGTCTGGGGAGAGCTCTGCACATGGACAGGTGGTTAGGGGAGTCTGTCTGGCTCCTTCACCCTTGGAGGCCTTCCCCAGGCACTCTGTTCAAGGCTCCCCTTCCTCTCACTCAGGTTTCTCATAAATATCCAGGACAACAAACTACAGGTTTGTTCTTTGGCTACATCTTCTGTTATTCAACTGTAAATGCCCCCAGAGCAATGACGACCAAGCCACTCATCTAATCCTCAGTTCCCAATTCTGGAAGTAGTAACAGTATTCAGAAATTCCCAGGCCTCCCCAGAGATGGGATGTGGGATGGAGATGGGAGCCACAGGGAGGAAGCGGTATAACTAATGTTGCAGGGAGGGGACTGCAATTATTGAGATGAAACAATAGAAGGACTTTTCCATCTTTGTTCCTAAAAGCCAGGGGTTAGAAAGAGCAGGTGCTCCATCAGTGGAGCTAGGGAGGGGCCCAAGAGTCTGCCACTCTGGGGAGCCGGCTAAGCATTAGGGAAGGCAAACTGGAGCTCAGCTTGTTGGCCCAAGTCTGGCTGAGCATCCACTGCCCTTCCTCAGGTGTCAGGCCATTTGAGTTTGCCTTCATTGATTTGATTTCGAGCCTGGCCCCTACTAGAAGGTGTTGGCTGATAGCTGCTTAGGATGTTAACCCTCCCAGGATAATTTGCACTTATTTGCAACTGTTGAAGGGAGAAAGTTTCCTAAGACCAAAGGTGTGACACTCTAATGATTAATGATTAGAATTTAAGAACCAGGAAGGAACAAGGGGACTGCTGTAGAGTCTAACAAACTAGAAATTCTTTGTGGTTCAGCTGGTCTCCTGGGGGACACAATGTGCTGAGTGGGGAGGGTACAATATCAGAACTGTGGCTGTTTCCTGCCTGGATCATCAACAGGATCACCTCCCTCTCTCAGGACAGCTTTCTCTTACGGGGCCTCCACCTAGTGGCTTGTGAGGAGCCTGTTCTGTCTGTTTAGCTGCCTCACCCCCATCTTGGAGACTGTAGGCAAAGTGGTCACTTTCCCATGACACCCACATGATCCACTGGAGACTCTGACCTACCTCCTGCAGATGGTCCTCTCCTGGCCAAGAGGCCCTGGATCACTTGTCCTTGCTGATACCCTACTGATGGAGAGAAGAGAGAGAGAAGGCAGCAGAGAATGTTGTCTTGGGAAGTTGGAGTCTTGTAACTGGAGTCATTTCTCAATCATCCCGAGAGTTGATAAAATCACTGTTGTTGTCAAGTACCGTCCAGTCGATTCGGACTCATAGCAACCCCATATAGGGTTTCCAAGGAGCAATTGGTGGGTTTGAACCGCCAACCTTATGGTTAGTACTCCAGTGCTTATCCTATAACATCACACCAGAACTTGTGTGGATTGGTTCATTCCTTTACTGATTAATTCATTGACTCCTCTCGACCTCTCCTTTATCCTCCCTTGGTCCCTTAGTGGATGCCTCTAATAGGCAGAAACTGCTGGAGGTTGGGGATGCAAAGCCTGTCTGCCAGAATTTTTCAGTCTCAGGACATTAGCCACATGTTCCAGCAGGACAGTGCAGTAGAGTGGCCAGGGAAGGAGAGCCGTGAGACATGGGGCTGGGAGATCTGGACGTGGTAGGGGCTGAACTTGAGCATGAGAGTAGACAGGGTGGTGGGTAAAGGTTGGCTGTTTTTATTTTTGCTTTACCTTTTTCACTGAAGTCTTTCTGCAGAAGGGTGACTTCTCAGATTGGCACTAAGGTCCTTGATGCAGGGTGAGGAGTAGACTGAAGCCTTGAGTATTCCTCTTTGGTATTTAATTTGCTTTTCCAACCCCAGGTTTTAGACCCAAGGTAACTGGACCTTTGTCAGAACTAGATTCATCCCCATCTTCTCTTTATCCCTAACCCATTCCCTTGTGGTATAGACTGTCTCACTAAGGAAAGAACCACAAGAATCTGTCCAGGAAGCCAGTGTGTGGCCAAATCGTGCTGGCCCACCCTCTGAAGAGCTCTGCCAGCTTGGCAAACCCTTGGCCAGAACTTCTTCCCAACCTCCCTGACCTTTAGTGGCCAGGAAATCTCTACCTTTCCCAGGAAGGATGCTGAGAGGAAGGTCTGGGCAACACTCACTTACCTGTTCTTCTCACTGGCTGGACTGGTGATATTCCTGGGGGGAAAAGAAAAGAGGAGTGAGGATTGTACTGCTCCACCAGGGCTCAGGGTGAGGTGGGAAGGGCTCACGCATGGCTTTTTGGGATTTGGTGCCTCTGATGGGTTTTCAGTGATCTCCAGTTACTTCCGATTATCTTCATGTGGCCACACAACTGGTTGTTCCTTATAGGAATCAATGTAGAGCAGTGCAAAGTGCACCACAGAGTTTTGGGCACCTGGGCTGGGCATCCTTGTGAAAAGTACTTCATTTATTTGAGCCTCAGTTTCCCCATTGACTATAACCAAACCCACCAAACCCATTGCCATCAAGTTGATTCCAACTCATAACAACCCTGTGGGACACCGTAGAAGGGTTTCCAAGGCTATAAACTTTTATTGAAGCAGACTGCCACGTGTTTGTTGCATGAAGTGGCTGGTAGGTTTGAACCTCTAACGTTTCAGCTAACACTATAGTTAACCTCCAGGACACCTCATTGGTTAACTGGGGAGATATTGTGGAATGGCACTGTGGGTTAATGTGCTGGACTGAAAGGTTGGTTTGAACCACAAAGGTGGCAGTCAAGCTCACCAGCTGCTCCTCAGAAACCACAGGGTCGCTATGAGTCAGAACTGACTCAATGGCACTTAACAACAACAACAATCATGTCTGAGCATAGTAGGTGCTCAAGAAATATTTAATTTATACTCCCATTCCCTGTTCCTCATGGATTGTTAGATTTGAAAAAGATCTTTGAAATGGCCAAGTCCCGAATCTATTTTGCAGAGGAAGAATTGAAGGCCAAAAGTGTTTAGTGGCATATATATATAATTACAAAAGCATGCCCCCTATGTAAAAAAAGCAAATAGCATAGAGATTTGTTGTTGATGTTAGGTGACATTGAGTTGGTTCCTACTCAAGCAATCCTATGCAAAACAGAATGAAACACTGCCCAGTCCTGGGCCAACCTCACCATCGTTGCTATGTTTGAGCCTGTAGCTGCTGCCACTATGCTAATTCATTCATTTCATTGGGAGTTTCCTTTCTTTTTCTCCGACCCTCCACTTTACTAAACATGATGTCCTTCTCCAGGGATTGGTCCCTCCTAATAATAGATCCGAAGTATGAAAGCTCCTCAGAAACCCTATGCAGGGCCTCTATGAATAGGAACTGACTTGATGGCACTTAGCAACAAAACCCCCTGGCTCATGGGTCGAGCGCCCCCTGCTAGAATGGAGTAGCTGACTCAGAACCCTGGGCTTGAAGGTCTCTACTTGGTGTTTTGGAAACCCACACAGAACTACTCTTTGTTAATCGTTGTTGTTAAGCGCCGTTGAGTCAGTTCCGACTCATAGAGACGTTGTATAGGGTTTCCAAGGAGCAGCTGGTGGGCTTGAACTGCTGACCTTGAGGTTTGCAATCCAGTGCTTAGTCATTCACATCCCACCTTTGTCACTTACCTCCCACCCGCTTCCCCATCAGCCCAAAGAACTGGCTTGCCTTGCCCCTCTTCACCTCCTGAAGTTGAAGATGAATGCTGGACACAGAGCCTTCCTAGAAAAGCAGAGACTTAGAGTTAGAATTGCGGAGGCTGGTAACGAGTGAAGGGAGGGCAGTCTGAGAAATAATCACTTCAATAACCAAAGAGCACTTGCTTTGGGCTCTTTTACACAATGCTGTTCATAACAATAATAAGTAAAAGCATGGCATTTCACCTACTAAGCTTCTAGCATTGTTCTAAGAACTTTAATGTATGAGTGGGCTTCAAAAAGTTCATGAAAAAATGGGATTACTAGATAACAGAATTTTTCCGTGAACTTTTTGAAGTCCCCTCGTATTAACTCATACAGTACTCATCAAAACCCTGTAAGTATTACTACTGTTACCGTTTTACAGATGAAAACACCAAAGTACACAGAGATTAAATAATTAGGTCAAGTTCAATCTGCTAGGAAGTGAGTAATGGGGCCAGAAGTTGCATCTGGCTCAGAAATTGGGCTCTCAAACACTACACTCATAATCTCATTTAATCACCACAAACACGATTTATCCCATGTTACAGATGGGAAAACTGAGACTCAAGGAGGTTAAGTGACTTGTCCAAGGTCACACAGGAACAGTTAAACTTAGAAAGACTGACTCTAACACTGAGTTCTGCTTTGTCTTGGGAAGTGTCTCCAGCATAGTTGAGCGGGGCAATCGATGAACTCAGGGTGGGCATCCAATAGGCAAGACAGAGTGGCTTCTCCTTTCCCCAGGCACTTCCCTCATTCTCCTAAATTAACCCTGCCCTGGATCCTGCGCTGCCCATTCATGGCATGTGGTCTGAGGTGGAAGCTACTACTCTGGGCAGATACTTGAATTCCTGAGTTGATGGGGTAAAAGGCTTAAATCAAGGGTTATGGGCTAAAGCTCTAGTTTTTCTATTAGTATTTCAGATCTTAGCCAGAGTCTTTCCAACTCTGACCTCAACTTGTACATTGAAGAGGGCCTGCTTGGATCTGCTGAAAAGGTGAGCAGCTGCTAGGTGACAGAATGAATTGAGGACATGACCGTGGGTGATAGTCCTTAAACTGTCCTTGCAGCTCTGTCTCCCTAGTACCTGGTACAGGGTGCACACAGGGGCTTGGGGTGCAGAATGCTCAATGAGACTCCTTCTTTTGACAGTCCGGGAATAAGGTAAAGGGATGAGAAAGTGGAAGACAGGCAAACAGCTTCCAGGAGCATAGGCTTCATGGGGGGCTCTTTCTTCCACCTCCAATTTCCCTTAGGGCCAGCAGGAACCAGAAGGCAATGGAAGCCCTTCTTTGTCTTACAACTTGCCTTGTACCAACTTTTAGGATCAGAAGTGGATTGTTTTCTAAGCCTTAGGCTAACTCAGTAGTCACTTGCAATTGGCCTCTTTCCTGGGACGTCAGTGGCCAGGGCAGCTGTCTCCGGCTGGAGTCACCCAGCCTGGCCAGGAACCAGAAAAGGCTCTTTGGAGATTTAGATCCATTTTTGAAAAGCTCATGAAAACCACTTTGCCTTGGTAAAAGGCAGCCTTCAAGTGTAGGCTGGAGAGAATGGTCGTTCAGGAATTAAATAGGAGTCACCCTTCTCCCACCCACTGTGCTTCTTCCAGGGGATCATGAGGAGGCATGTATTACCTGGACTCTTGCCCCCACCTAAACTCTCCGCCTCTGTGTGATTCAAATGCCAGCCCCATTGATGACTGCAGACAAGGATACCCCGAGAGCTAGAAAGTTGATTAAATCATCCCTGAAGGTACCTCCCCTGAATTCATGTTGAGCAACCCATAGTGTTTCTAGGGTCTTCCTGAGCTTGAACCCAATCTCTTGTCCTGCATTCCAAGCCCTGTGTCTTGGGAAAAAGAGAGATATTATGGAGAGTGAAAAGAGAGTAAGGATTAGTACCTACGTCAGGGTGAGATGCGTGATGATGGCGTGCAGGTGACTATGTAGAGAGCTCCCCCCCACACGACATAACCTCTTTTTGCCTAGGCCAGCTACCCTCAAGTTTGGCACTGATTCCATAAAGCATGTAGAAGCTTGAAAAAATTGGGGGCCATCTAACACACCCCTTCACTTTAAAGGTGAGGAGACTGATGTCCAGAGAGCTGCAGTGACCTTTCCAAGGTCACAGGGAGGCCCTGCAGAAACTGAGACTTGAATCCAGGCCTCTCAGTCTGGCTATCTTCTCAGCCACAAACTTTCATGTTCAGACCAATGAAGAGGGAGACTCACCATCAACGACTGTCTGCTTGATGGCTCATCCAGAGTTTCAACCAGAGTTTCTAGGGACCTCACTGTGGCCTGGGATGGCATGACTGTTGCTCTGGTATGTATCTGCCCCCTTGGAGGTCTACCTGGCCTAGGACTATGGCCTGGAACCTACCCAAGAGAGGGAGTCAGACATACTGCCCTGCCTTGTACATCCTGTTCTCTTGCAGCCATAGTAGGCTTGCCTGCCCCCCACCATTGGTCACCCATGTTCTGGTCAGAGTCTTTCCCGCTCCAGGGTCATAGTTACCCAGGGCCCTGCTTCAGCGCTGAGGGCCAGCTCCTCTCCGCAGTCCCCTGCCGCAGTACACACAGACAGTCCTGTCAGAAGAATCAGGGTGAGGCAGAGCAGCATGGTGGATACAACTCCAGTCCGGGACTCTTGTGGAGCCCCTCTTGGTCCGAAGATGCCACCTCCAGTAGACCCTCCGTTCACTCTTTGACGCCTTAGTGTAGGTGAAGGAAATTCCACCTGTTCTCTGGCCCTCCCAGGGATCCCACTGTCTTCCTTCAGCTTATCTGACTCCCTGGGGTGGTTTCCTGGCTGGAAAGGCCAATGATGTTGGGACGCTGCCTCAGAAGGAGGGACCAGACCACTCCCACCACCCCACCCCCAATACTTGATCCCTGGGCTTAGCATCTGATGCAACACCTGCCTCACCTGTTGGCTGTGTTCCCTCCCAGATGTACAAAGGGGCAGTGTGTGGGGCCTGGAGACTGAGTGACCTGAGTGACCGGAAGCCTCAGGGGCCCATCTCAGCTTGGAATGGTCCTCCGCTCTCCAGTACAGAAGCCCTTCAGAACTTAACCAGTGCACAGAAATACACGCTCTCTCCCAAGAGAAATAACACAGTGCTTTTCTTCTTTTTTTAAATGAGACTCCTCACAAGAAGAAATTGAGATTTGCAAAATTAAAAAAAAGGTCTCCTGCTTTAAGATTAACTAATCTTCCCAATGTTGTCAAAGTGATCTAAAGCCCTGATCTGTCTCTCCCTGCTGCCAAACTTCGAATGTCTCTCTAGCTCCTCAGCATGGCATTGAAGGTCCTTCTCAGTCTAGTTCCTATTTATCCATCCATCTACCCACCCACCCACCTTTCCACTGGTATATCTGTCCATTCATTCATCCACCCATTCACTGATCCATCCATCCATCCATGCCACCCACCCACTAGTCTGTTTGTTTAACTGTCTATTCACTTATCTAGAAGAAGGGTTCTGTTATCAGATAGACCTGAATTCTAATTCTCTCTCCATCACTAAATAGCTGTGTGACCTTAGGCACATTACTTAATCCCTTTTAGCCTCATCTGTAAATGGAATTAATAATAGCACTTATTTCCAAGGTGGTTTGAGGATGAAATGAGCTAATGCATGTAGAGCACTTAGCCTAGTGTGTGATGGTAAATATTTAATACCTGTTAACTATTATCATTACTATTATTGACACTGGGTGAGACACTGGGCCACAGAAGATGAGTAAGACTGTTTTCGTCCTGCCACCTCTTGCAGTCCAGACGAAAAGACTTCTGGTTGGTAGATACACTGTGTTTAGTGTGGAACTTGCTGGCAGAGAGGCGGGAGCCAACTGGTAGAGGGGTGAAGGGAAGAGTGTCCTCCTACAGCTGCTCCCTGAGCCTTGCCCACTGGCTGTACCACTCACTCCTGGAACATGCAGAGACTTCATGCTTCCATGCTTTTGCGTTTGCCTGGAGTGTCCTTTCTTCGTTTGCCACCTAGTGAACTCCTGTTGATCCTTCAATGGCTAGCTTGATGTTTACGTCCACATTAGAGTTTTTCTTCTCTCTACTCCTGTCTCTGGCAAGAATTAATTGGCCTCTTTTCTGGGTGGTCTCAGTATCTTCTACTTATCCCTCTTTGACTCTGTAAAGGCTGCTGTGAGAGGCTGTGCAGATGTAGCCTGCAGATGGCACCAAAATGGAAAATGGAGATGAAGCCCTGCCCTCATTCTGCTCACAAGACACACAGCTATATGCACTCCTGCAAGGGCACCTGTCTTCAGTTCTGCCCAAGTTCATTATGCAAGTTCATTCTTAGAGTAGGGCTGTGCTATATATTTGCCCAGAACATTAAAAAACAAACAAACAGACAAAAAATGCAGTTGCTGTCAAATCAATTCCAACTCATGGTGATTCCAAGTGTTTCAGAGGAGAACCGCATTCCATGGCTTTTAGTGGCTGTGATCTTTCAGAAGTATGACACTTGGAAGTTGTTCTTATATCTGGTTGCCTTTTTGTTCATTCTACCTCATGGTGACCGATGTGTTAGAATCAACTCAAAGGTCACTATGAGTAGAACTGTTCTATGGGGTTTTCTTGTTCTGACAGCATAGTGGTTATGAGTTGGGCTGCTAACCTCAATGTCTGCAGTTCGAGGCTACCAGCCGATCCATGGGAGAAGGATGAGGCTTTCTGCTCCCGTAAAGATTTACAGCCTCGGAAACTCTCTATACAGGGTCGCTATGAGTCGGAACCGACTCCACGGCACACTACCACCACCACCACCACCACCACCACCACCGTTGTTTAGAAGTTCTTCCTCACAGCTAACAGCATTTTTTCATTCTTCGCTTTCATTTCACAGGGTGGGCTTACTCCAGGTGACACTAAAAGTTAGTGGTCCATTAGCACCCTGGACCCCTGTCAGTCCCTTCTACTTCCCATTAGGGTCTCGATCTACAGGGGTGTCTCGCCAGACTGGAGGCAGAAGAACGCCTGTGGGCCCGGAAGCTCACTTCCTACTTTGGACTTGAGGGGTCCTTTTGAGGCTCAATTTCTCCATCTGCATATTAGAGTCGCCCCTCATTGGGCTGTTGTAAAGAATTCATGTCAAGTGTTTCACACAGTGTCGGCACATAGTAGGTGATCAGTGAACCCTAATTTACTGTGATTATTAGACCTCGGTAAGACTGGACCTCGGCGCTGGCCTCTTGGGTCCGGGGCAGGATGTGGTGGGCGCACAGCGGGGCCGAGGCCGGGAACACAGGGCAGGGTGGAGAGGGCGGCGGGAAGAAGAGAGAGAAAGCCCAAAGGTCCGGATGGTTGGGAGGGAAGTAGGGCACCGACTGGAAACCGCGACTATTTGCAGCGTAGCCCTCAGGCTGCGGTCGCGCTGGCGTTCGCAGCCCTGGCAACCCCAGTTCGTCACCCCGCCCAGTGCCCTCGGCCACCTGGGCACGGCCCTGGCCGGCGCGCCCCGCTTCGCCCATCCTCTCGGCCCGGGCACCCGGGTGGGCTGGGGCGCCGCTCCCAGGCTTAGGATGAGGCCGGAGCCCGGTGGCCAGCGACTCCGGACTGGGCTGGGCGCCGCTCTGGGGGGTCTGGGGGGTGGGCGACGCACGTGGAGCGGATGCGATTGTCCGCCAAGCTGCGGACTGCTACAGGTCTGTCGGGGCTGGTGCTACACTGTAGTCCAGCTGGACTAGAGGTGGGCGCGTGAAGGCGAGGAGTGTGACCTCCGAGTGGGCTGGGTACAGGCGAGGCACAACAAGGTGGGTGTGACCCCCGGCCGGCAGGCGGTCTGGCCCCGGGGTGGGTCGTGGCCGGCGCAAGGCTTCCAGGGCGCGGGGTGGGAGCGCAGGATTGCTCAGGGCTGCGGTTTGGCTGAGAGTAGCGCTGGGAAGAGAAAGGGCACGGGAGGGAGAGATTTAAAAAAAAAAAAATGCTGGGGGCCTACAGAAAAGAGGGAAACACGAGACGAGGGCAGGCTAAGGGCAGGAAGCTGACGTTTCCTGCGCCACTGCTCTGTCCAAAGGAGGTAGGATTATTGGCCCTAGTTTATAGGCCAGTTTGGGGAGGTTGAGGACCTTGAATAAAGCTGTCCAGCTATTGAGTCCGGATTTGAACCTTGGCCTGCTTCCCATTGAGTGCTCTTTCACCTTAACTGAGGAATGCAGACGGGAGCGACAAGGGAATGATGGGGGCAAGACCGAGAAGGGAAGAGAGACAGGAGTGAGGAGAGACAAGAGGCTGACTTGTGGAGACTCTAGGATAGAGGGAGATAGCCGGCAGGAGGTAATGTGGTTCCCTCCCTTCTTAACCCCCATCCACGCCATGATGCCTCAGGGGCCCCGCCTCAATCCTTCTGGCGCCCCCGTGTGGAAGCTTCTGACAGCCTGGATCGCCCTACCTAGAATGTTTCCAGAGCCGGATTGTGGGGGGGGCGGGGCGCAAGAGCTGGGCCCAGGAGTCTGAGGACTTGACCCCTGGGTAGAGGGATCCGAGATAGAGCAGGGGCTGTGCCTCCAGAGAAGGGGACTCTTGAGGGAGGCGTGGGTGAAGATTGTTAGGGGCCCCTGATTGGAACAATGAATGATTCTTGTACCCCTGTGCAGCTATAACAGTTTAAGATTTCTGAGAAAGCCAATTTACCCCAAATCTTGCAGGTTACATTAATTTATTCTGGATTTACTGAACACCTGAACAACACAAAAGTTGCTCAAGGACAGAGATGTAAGAAACAGTTGTTGTTGTTGTTGTTAAGTGCTGTTGAGTCGTTTCCGACCCATAGCAATCCTGTATAGGGTTTCCAAGGAGCTGCCATTAAGCATAAACCGCCGACCTTGTGGTTCAAAGGACTTTGCAGTCCAGCGCATTAGCCCACAGTGCTACAACCAGCTACAACCAGGACTCCTTAAGAAACAGTAGTATAGTAATTTTAGTACAATATGGAAAATGTCATCGCTGGAACATTTTTGCGAGAAACTAAGACTCCTGGGTCCCCTTTACTCAGACTTATAAAGTGGATACACTTCAGACACTACTAAAGGCAGAGCATGTTGGGATTGGTACAAACAGAGTAGTGTTCTCAGGGGCTTCATAGGCATATCTTTGCCCAGAGTCCTGGTGGACGATTTGACACGAGCCTGCTTTGCCCTTGACATTCAAAGCCTCACTGTGTCCCAAGTATCTCTGCTGTTGAGTTGATTCTGTCTCATAGTGACCTTATGTGAGAGGGGGTTTCCTAGGCTGTAATTTCTGCTCCCGTAAAGATTTACAGCCTCGGAAACCCTGTTCAGGGTTGCTATGGGTTGGAACCAACTCGTCGGCACTTAACAACAACAACAATTTATAATAGAGCAGATCGCCAGGTCTTTTTGGTTGGTGGGTTTGAACCACCATTTCTTAGCAGCCAAGCAGTTAACCAATACACCACCAGGGCTACCCCCCTCCCCCAGTATTTCTCGTTAGGTGCTCTCGAGTCGTTCCAACACATAGTGACCCTATGTATAAGAGAGCAAAACACTGCCTGGTCCTACTCCATTCTCACACTTGCTGCCAAGCTTGAGCCCATTGCTGTTCTCCAGTGTCAATCCATCTCATTAGGAGTCTCCCTC